TACACCTTTTTTATAGATGACAAGCTGAGGAGAGAGCGGAGAAGACATTAGTGGCCCTTTACTGCTGTACGAGAGATGACTACACCAGTCAGATACAAGTCGGTACATTAAGCTTTCCTCATTGGAAATAGTGGGGCATTTAAGCTCACTGCTGCTAAGCATACTACCCATGGATGTTATGGGGAAGCAAAATTAAGTTGGCGCAGCTATCGGACTGCCGGCATTATTCAGCTGCAAAGTGAATTACTGTGGCCATATCTCAATTCTGGATGGGCTTGGCCAGCCAGAAGTAACTCGATTATGTTCTATACTGATAGGTCCAAGCTGGATGACGGAGTAGACGGGGGAGTATGCGCTGGGCAATTCAGGCTGGCGGCGTTAGGACTCTTCATTCTTTTCTCAGACCAAAACTTATAGCCACTACAGTAGACCTACACGGGAAATCGCAAGAGATTCTATTGTTAAGAACGAGCGACATATCGTTAGCTATAAAGCAGAACCATAAAGGTTTACCCACAATGCAATTTCTAGAAACTTCTTGGATAAAGACACAGAAATTGTGAAGGCGGCAACAAATTTCAGGAACAGGGTTTTTAAATGATCTAAACACAGCGATAAAGTTGAGCACACGGCAAGTGCTCAGATTTGTTCACATCACAGACTGACTCCAAGAATAGTAGTGGTTTCAAGATCTTCAACCTAGCACTACTTCCAGTCGGTATTCACTGCCATGCTTAGCAGCGTCCTTTGACATCGTAGGTTACACAGCTGCAGCAAATCCTGCGATCAGACTTAGCGGAAGTGGGTGCTGAACTGCCTCTTGATTTTGACAGTCTAGTAAATATACGCAGTTATTACGAATCAATGCTGAGCTAGACCGGCACCAGCAAGTTCCTTCACTATTTATATCCTCCTAGAAATAAGTTAAAGGGAATCAGAAGTTGAAAGGAGGCACCGATGAGCTTCGAAAGTTGATGTAATGGTTGGTGAAGGGGTCTTTTGCAGATAGCTCTCCATTGACCTAAAATGTAGGCTGCTAGATCGTTGTAGCAATTTCCACCCACAAGTATTTAGCTGACATTTAGTAAGCAGTTGCGCGTCCGTGGCAGGAAAGGTAAACATCTACTCTGATAGTAAAGCGGTAATTAAAGCTTTCTTCAATGTTGGTAGATTAATTGTTGGATGCGGTCTTTTCTCCTCTCGTGAGGACAAATTGTATTCCTGGCTAAAGTACCATGCGTATGTCTTATGACCCGACGAAGCACCTTACCATTTGACCATAAATTATCCACACCAGAGGTTTCGTTTGTATTAGCTGACCAGTTTCCGAATCCGAAAATGAAGATATCTGATACGGAGCTCCCTAAAATGATAATGGACTTAGGACCTAAACGGAATAAAGCATGCTGCTGTTGGTGTGGCGAAAACTGCGATGGTGCCACTGGTGCCACTGGTGACACTCGTGAACCGGCAAGTTTTCGAGTGTTCAAATTCAGATTTCTAATTTGGATATCCCAGGGATCGACATGGCGTAGGTGTTAACACTCGTTCACCAGTACAACAGACGCAAAATTTATATAGATAGGTGAGGGAATGGCAGCAAAGGAACACTCAGAAGCGAAGTCAAAAGCTTTATCAATCGACATAATTATAAAATCGATAGAATTTGTGATCATCATACTTGCGCTAACTATTTTTATCTCAGGTGAGCTGCTATTAGTGAGATCGTTCTCGGGCATGGTGCATAATGTCTAATCGTATATCTAGCCTGGAAAACCTTTTTGCTACGTTCACTTCGTAGGCTTAAGTAACTTTTTCCTATCATTAAGCGACTAACTGAGATTTGAGATATGTCACTGAACCTGTGTCAATCATGTAAATAAACTTTAACTAGCAACCAGTAATATGGTAAAATAGGTAGGCGGTGAAAAGCGGTCCTATGGTGGAACATTGAACTTACGAAACTTCGAGAAAGGTTTAGGGGACTGCTGACTAGGGCTTTAAAAACCCGAAAAGAGGAGGACTGGTCTGAATATAATAATGTGCAGAAGGAATATAAGAGCCAAATTACCATGTCAAAACTAAGCTATTATAGAGACTTCTACAATTATATCGACAACATGAAAGAGTCTGTTAGGCAGGGTAAGGTGCTTCACCAGGACCTGACGGTTAGGCTGGATTCTCTCAGAAAATCCGATGGAACTTATACCACGTCTCTGCTAGACACATGCAAAACTCTACTGGAAACTAATTTTACGGGTAGCAGGTTAATTCATTACGCCGCACAGTGTAAGATTTGACCCATCAGCTGCTTTTAATTCTGTAATTCGAAAACAATTGAAGATAGATTAATGAAATTTTGCACAAGGTACGTTATAAGATAGGCGAAGCTTTTTACATAAAATTGATAATTTATAGTTACTGTCACGCCACCCTATTATATAACTGCAATTTTTAAAAAAGCAAAACTACGAAGGCTAAAATGCCCAAAATTTATATTTAGAATTTCCCTATAACAAGGAATTATATACTGACAGAAATGGACTTAAAAATAAATATATTTTTTTTTAATTATGGGCGTGGAAAATATCGATAAAATAGTCAAGTTGGGTCAACAAAATTCCGTTATAAGTTCAATATTTCTTGCTCTATTTACAAAAATGGGATACTATTGCAAATGTAATGAATCAGGCTTTCTCTATTCAAAGCAAAAATACAAGAATTTGTCTCGGTCGAGATAACATGCAAATGAATTACTCGAAGAAAATGAAATTCCCAGTAGAAAACCTGCACTTTCCAGCAGCTAAAATTGTGTTGTTTAAAGTCTAAGAGGAGTGGCAAATAAACTGAGATACAAACTTTATCGAATAGTGGCGGATAACGAGTTTTCGGGTCTAATAAAAATAATAATTTGCTAAAAATAAGTCTAAGTCAACATCGTTTTACTTTAACATGAAATACTCAGTCCTAGTTTACTAAATTCCCAAAAATGTATATTCATTAAAAAGATCATACCTAAAAAATAAGACCAAAATGATATTTTGGCAATTGTTGCATAAATCACATAACACCGACAAATTAAACATTGAGATTCAGTTTTAAATATACAAGTTTAAATATTATTGCGCTCAGTAATTTTCCAAATCAAACCCCGTCCCGCCATACACTTTGATTTAAATTTTTTAGTTGTTATTGTTTCGTCTTTATCAGGCATTTCTTGACGTTGTTTTGAAATTTGGAGACATAAAATAATGTAATTAATCTTTTCTATGGAAATAATACACTGTGCGCCGGCAGAGATAGCGCGACGGGAACAGCTACCAGACAAAACTGGTACATAGCATCGCGCGTGGTGACTGACTCTTTTGACGACTTTATGTCGGGCTCGGATGGTGTGTATCCGACAATTCTAAGGTCTGGGAGAGACAGGTTTATAGGGGCTGTTATAAGAAATTTTAGGGTCTGTCTGGCGTTTGGTCACGTTCCTACTCTTTGGAGAAAAGTCAGGATACTCTTCATTCCCAAACCAGGAAAGGATGCATAACATGAATATCAAAGCGGAAAGTCCTGTGAATCCGGTCCACATAACCATGTAACAAGGTGATGGACACTACCTTTGGCTCTATGCGCTCTGCGGCCAGAAATTGGATTCAGTTCATGTTATCTAAAAGATTTCTGACTGTGGGGACGAAGCTAGCCTTTGTACAAGGGCAGAGTTCGAGACGGGATGCCCTCAGGGCGGGGTGCTCTCACCTCTCTTGTGGTGTTTGGTATAGGACTCCCTACTAACGGAACTACAAGATCTCGTTCAATCTCAGCTTTCGCGGATTATGTTTGTGTACTGTTATCAGGTAAATCTTTAGGGAGATGTGTGTTGAGACACAGAATAAGATTGATGAATGGTTCCCTGGAGCTGTCAATCCCAGCAATACAACACTGGCCTTGTTTATGCGGAAAAGAAAATTAGAAAGTCTCAACCCTCCAGTGCATAGAGGCATAAACCTAAGTCTTTCCGTAGATGTGAAATATCTAGGAGTGACTCTAGATGCGAAGATGACAGCTGAAGGTAAATCGAGCGCTGAAAGTTTTCGGTGAAAACGGACGGTAGCTTCAGATGCTGAATTCCTTAAGTGCAATGACAACGGTCTTTCAATCGGAAGTCTTTGCAATACTGAAAGTGAAACACTGGATAATTTGTGAAAGGTGGCGCGGACATAAAATCAGGACCCGAAGTGACAGCCAAGCTGCTTAAAATGCCTTGGAAACCGCTCGCACCTCTTCAATGATAGTCCAGGAATGTAAGTTGAGGCTGAATTCCGTTATAAGGTGGAACGAGCTTGAACTGGTGTGGGTGTTAGGACACTACGGTGTTCAAAGCAACGAACTGGCGAATGTGATATAAAGCTTTGAGAGCATTGATCCTAAGAAAATACGATTTTCAATAACTGATTATATATCGACCCTAGACACGAATAAAGGCGCGAGCTCAAAAGTTGACCGCCAAAAAAGGCGCAAAAAAAAACTTCAGTGAAGTTCAGCGAAGAAAGACTTCTTAACATAGTTGACAGCGAAGAAAGACTTCTTAACATAGTTGACGGCGAAGAAAGACGCGTTAAAATATTTGACGGCGAAGAAGGACGGGTAAACTTGTTTTCGCCGTCGACTATGTTTGCGGGTGTAACAGTATGTAAATTCCCCAACGAGTTTTTGTTGAATGATGCTGAAGTGAAGTAGTCCTTGGCCAGGTATAAATCTATGTTTACGCGCCTTTCTTCGCCTCAACTAGGTTACGCGTCTTTCTTCGCCGAAGTTTATCTTAAGCGCCTTATTTCGTACAATTTTTTTACACGTATTTTTTCGCCGTCAAAACACTAGCGCGCCTTTATAAAAACCTCTGGATTATAGCTGCTTGCGCTGTGTAGAAAATAGTTTAATATTATCGATTATTATGTAGAAAGGATTTAAATATTTCATAAAAACCTTTCTCTTTTAATTTACAGAAACACCTAAAAATCTGTGATTATGTTGCAGAAGCTGGTAGCAAGACCAAGCTACATATTTGCTTAAATCCAGCATAGACTAATTTGAAAATATTTCAAGCCATAACTTATTTTCGTCATTCAGAAAGTAAATTGAAATCAACGTCGGATTAGCTGCGAGAATAATACAACCAAACACAAAGACGAGCAGCATTTGTTCACCAACTAGATTATAATTGAATGCAGAATCTCGACAAGTTTGGTAAGTATACTCACTATCTGCGAGTTTTTTTCGAACTAAAAAAATTCTGCGCAAACATTTTTGACCGAACAGAATAAGCACATTTTGGAAAAAGTAGTATCCAAATATTGGCTTACCTGGCTTTTTGCAATGGTAAATGCGTTTGGATTGTTTCTGTGCAAAAACGAATTTTTCGTTATAAAACAAAATACACAAAATTTTGTTTTTCAAAGCCCTAACAAAATTTATCTTACACAGTGTTCTTTCACTTTTTGATGATTTCCGACCAAATAGAATCATATAACCTGCTGTTGGTTGCAGAAGTTAACGTAGCTTTAAAGCATCCGTATTTGACACGTATTTTCCCACAAATAAAATTTTAGCTACACATCGCCAATTGAATATTTACGCATTCTGGAACTGTTTTCACAAAAGAAATGACGAAGCAAAAATATTTAATTTTAAAATTTTCTATTCTCAAATAACCGCAAATGTTTTGTGCGCAGGCGAAAACCCACGTCGCTTGCAAATATTTATTTTTAGCTACACTGACTTTGGTTTTGTTCTTTTCTCTAATTCTAAATTCGCTAGCTTAAATAGTCAATATTTCTTTGACTTTGTGCCGCCTTTCGCTTCAATCAAACTAAATTATAAACAGCTTATGAATTTTATAAAAAAAAATATATATTTTTTTTTGTTAATCAGCTTTAAATAAAAGTGCCAATTCAAGCTTATGCATGTGGATCTGTAAAATAAATGCCAGAAGCATGAATGTGCAAATTTATCAGTTTTGAGTTAATGGGTTGACTTGATTAACCTATGTTATACCGAAACTCAGAATACCATACGTACACGGAAAGCATATAACTTACAATTTCAATTGCATAGATTTAGAGTTAAGTCTAAACAATTTTTTATAGAGTCTTTCCCCAGCTAATTTTATTAAAAATAGGTAAGTTTTGGTTACAATATAATCAGGAAGAACAAGCCCTTTCGTTTCCAGGAATACTTAGAATTAAGATAAAAGCGATAAAATGTAATAACAGTAACAATGTGTGTATTTGTTGTTATCACTAGGAAAGAGCATTAAACAGGGAAAGTCATTTATATAGATTAGATAGTAAGAGATAGGAAATACAAAACAAATAATAAAAAAAAAAATTTACGTTAAATTTAAATAGATTTACAATTTAAACATAACGTCTTTTAAAGTACAAAACCGCGTATCGTCATTCTGCAAAACCGCGTAACTTACATTAGCTGCGCAAAATTGGTTTTGCTCACACAAGCTCTTGGCTCAATCCGTATCTATTCGTCCTGAAATATACTAACCAGAAATGCGACTACTTTATATAAAAGAGAACCATTTTCAAATATGAGTGTTTTTACTCTCTAGAAAATAATTTATGCAACCTCACATATGCGGTTTTGCATTATCTTGATACGCGGTTTTGTACTTTAAACTACGATAAGAAATATCGTAAAGCAAGTAATGTATCTAATTAAAAACATTAATTAATTAAAAAACATCTATTAAAAAAAAAATTAAATTTATACAAAAGTAAAATAAATAGTCAAAACTTTTCAATATGTGGGTGTCGTATAGTTATGATAAGCAATATTGAAAGGATTTTAAGTATGCTGTTCTGTAACCCATTTAATTGTGGTATTTACGTTAAAGTGCAAGGACTTACGTTTTTCCATACGCAGTTTGATCGACGATTTAGTTATATGCAGAAATTCAGCGACACCTTCCAGCTACTTCAAACTGGCACTTTAATGTACTAAAATTGAATGGGCTACTCAAAATCTTTTTTAAATATCTGATTAAATCATCAATATTTTTACGAAGTTTGAAACTTAGATTTATTCGGCTTTTGTTATTATAAAATAAAAATTAAAATTAAATAATAAAAAATAGTCAAAACTTCTCAATATTTGTGTGTCTTATAGTTATGATAACCACTATATAATGAAAACTGTGACACTTATTCCTCACAGTCGAAATCTAAATCCCATCCAAGCCTCGTTAAACTAATATTATTCGCTTCAAGTTCTACTAACTTCATCGCTTCAGTAAAGAAAGATCTCCGAATTGTGACCACTGGCAACAAGCGTGAGCAAATAATCAGAGGATCTCATGAAACTAACTATCTTTCAAAAACGAGCTCTAAATTGTCAGCGTGACTCGTTTTCCTACTATAGATCTCGCAAAATTTTTTAAATCCTTGTTGGAATTAAATCCGCTTTTTATTCATTGAGCAACCTTAAAATAATAATCAAACTTAACCAGAAGTATATGTTTCTGTGTTTAATTAAAATCGGAGTGAAATTTTTAAAACCAATTTATTTAAAAATGCGCAAAGTGCATTTCGTTTTTAACTCGGATTCTTAAGAAAGAAGGAACATACTTTATTGCAGCATTGTCAAATTTAAAAGCGCTTTGCGCATTATAAAAAATGTTTTTGAAAATTACACTTGCAAAAAATAGAGGTTAATTTAGTTTTTTTTAAACATAATTTTTTAACACATAATTCCAAAAAATACGCCAAAAGAATAAATACTCTTAATGGAAAAGACAAAATTACGAAATATAATTCCGCTTTCTTACAGTAACAATTTAAATTGGACATTTGAATTTCTCAGTTTTGAAAAAGAAAATAATGTTCAAACTTGTCAAGTTTGGACACGCATACACATCTCCCAGCCGAAAAATGATAGAAAGCTGAAAACTTACCCCCAAATATAGAATTTAATGGGGAATTAAACTGAATTTTTCCAAAAAAATCTTCTATTAAAAGTTGAGTTTTGAGTACGGTTTGCCACAGTGTGCGACGATATGTAAAAATGAAAAATTAGAAAAAGTTTAATTCTTATGAAATTATTCATAAAAATTAAAATAGATTTAGTGAACTTTATAAAGTGATACTTTCATGAAAAGTTTTTTATTTATAAAGCATTTAAAGTCTTGATTATTTTTTACGAATTTGGGTGTCAATACGTAGGGTCGGGATAATTGCTTTACATGGGGCTCAAAAGTGTTGGTGGGAAATCTTGTTTCTCAAAGAAGAGAAGTTACCTATATACGGATGCAATTTATGCGTCTGACGATGGGAAAATACTGCACTTAGTGGGAGAAAAGGTAATGAAGCTTGGATGGGGTACGGTATGATTGTTAAGCAAATATTTTGAACTCACCTGTCTTGAAGAATAATTCATTGTAAAAGACTTTACCAAACTTCAAGATGGCACTAAGAATTTTTCAATTGGGATGGGTTGATCCTGGAAGCCTGTGGCGAACGTCTTGTTAATTATTAAGTCACTGACGCCAAATCACCTCGGCAAGTTATACGATTGAGAAGCACGGCCAAATGACAAATTTTTATTATGAAAATGTGTCTTTATTCGTGTAATCGTTTGGTGGCCGGTTTGGGAAATGCGTAAAAACACCGGCTTTTGGTTGTACTAAAATACTTTCAGAGACCCTGTGGTAATCTGTCGAGCGATGAAAACCGCACCCATCACATATGGTGTTCTTTTAAACCCCCTGAGCATATCCTTATAAATAAATAAAAGGCATTGAACTTTCTAAACGACCAATGAAATTCAGTCGCAATAATAATAATAATTTGGCGCTTACTCCCAGGTCCTACAGAGTGGTAGTACGCAACGGTGTACTGCAGCAAGCTACTTACATTTCAATCTACTTAAAAGCTTACGTGTATTTACTAGGCTTGGTTCGAAACAAATAAGTAAATGCTTAGCTACTACCGTATTCATTTGCGTTCAAGCTATGAATTGAATTGGCTTGTTTGAAACAAAGTGTGAATCATACTTGCGCTTGTATATTTTTCAAGTAGCTTGAAAACGTAACCCATCAGCTACAGCGTCCGTTTTGTGCATATAACTGAACTACTGAGTCACATTTTTTTAGATGTAGATGGATCAGTACTAAGAATCAGCTCTCCAACTCCGCTTAGTGCTGTGTTATTTAGCACTTTACCTCGACGACGCGATTTAAATGACAAGGGAATCAATTCAGTTCATAGTGACTAGGTGATATAATTTTTGCTCTAAAAAAATCGAGCTAAAAAGTTGCATTAATTTTTGGCAACCATTGGTTTTGGGACACCAAATGAACACAAATGTGGGCTGTCAAATTCATTACTAAATTCTACACCAATTGGATGGCGAAAGTCAGACCCAAACTGGATCTAAAGAGAAGATTGATTCCATCGATACCGAACATTAATTATCTTAAAAGGCTGGGTTTTACGTTCGATAACCTCCTATTCTCCTTGGCACTTATAGGGCATCGCGGAGCGGTTGCAAGGAGGCCGTCGTCTCGAGTCTCCAACGGCGAAATTAGACGACTGCATAATATAAGACAAACGCTAGCCTATCTCTCCCAAAGCCAGGGTAGGTTCGGATTGCATATACCTGTCTAGCATACCCAGCTCTATTTACTCTATCTGTCTCACAAAAGAGCCGCCATGGAAAAAAACCAAGACAGATCGATTATTTAAAGCAATGAACGTAATTGAACGATCAAATATCGAACGATTTGTTTACCCGCCCTTTGTATGAAGAACTGAAGTAACTTCCTAAAGGAGGAAGGCAATTGGCGAAGCTGTTTGATCTCGATTCAAACTGACAAGCGGCTGTAGTGCCAAATAAGGAAAATATAGGGAAGATGAAGAACCAAAGAAATAAGAAGAATAGAGAGAACAAGAAGAAAAAGAAAAACAAGAAGAAAAGAAGAAGAAGAAGAAGAAGAAGAAAAAAAAAAGAAGAAGGAGGGGAAGAAGAACAAGTAACACAATAAGGAGTTAGACTAGATGGTTGTTGATGCAGCTCTGCAAATTATCCTGGACCATTTTCGCCTTCCGGATTAGGGACATCCGTTTGGAGGGAAATCGGTATTTCCTTTGTCAGCATAGTTTCCGTCAGAGCGCCTTTTTTTGGCACGCCTATCAGTCTCCTCCTTGCCCGTGACACCGTTGTGCCCTGGAACCCAGTAC